GTAGTTGACTTACGGTTGCTTGAAGGGAAGGACTGGTGTTGGTGCCTGTTCCATCGCATTGACGTAATACACAATTAAAATCACCGGCTAGGATCACATGCGGAGTGTTGTGTCGTAAATAATAGGCAATTGTAGAGTTTAAGAATCTCTCCCGTTCGGCGCGCATCTGATTGCCAGAATGGGCGTAAACACAACAAAGAGTTACGTTGCATACCCTGACTGCAGTTAGTCGACCGTCTAAACTTTTCTCCAAGTGTGAAAAACGGATGTGTTCCCTGATAGCAATAGCTGTTCCTCTGTGCATGTTGTCGACGTTGCATAAAACGTTAAATCCTGGTATCGTAAGTTCTTCATTTTCAACTTCTTGTAAAAAAATAATGTCTAACTCCATCGTACGGATGAATGTACGAAGGGCTTCCAATTTGGTTGGGTTTGTAATGGTGTTTATATTTACGGTGGCTATGTTGTAACTGAGAAAATCCATTATTATTTTGAAGAATCTCCCATCGAAACGTTTCCGTTGCCGTGTTTCTGCTTCTTCCCCGGCGGCCGTCCATTAGAGCGTCTGCTACTTGTAGATGTAGATGTAGATGTAGTCGATTCGTCGGTATCCTCATCATTGTTTTTGTTCACTTTTTTCGCCTTACCCTCGCCTACGCCAGGTAAACAAGGAACTCTGAACTCATTAGTTGCATCCTCCGAGGGAATGGTCAAAGTTCGCATCTCGGTGGATTGCTGTGCGGTCGAGGTATTCGGCATAGCTGTACTCAGAAATTCAGAACGGTCGGTTGCTTGCTGTGTGTTCGTAATAGGGGTGATAGAGGTAGTCGGCAGTGTTGTGATCTGAGGTTCCTGTCGGCTTGCGCTCATCGATACACTAAGCGAGAGTTGTTTTGGGTTGTTGGTAATAGTAGTGACCGAAAAATTCGGTGCAGTTGTTTTGGAACGGTTCCTGGCTTGCGGTCCACTTGGAAGTTGTTTTGTATTAGTTTTTGGGGCCAACGACGATTTGGCTACGTTTGCGTATGTCGGCTTAGTTGAATCTGCAGATAGCTTCTGAATCATCAACTTTTTGTTTTGTACACAGGACGCACCATTGCACTGTGGTCCAAAACGGCAAAAAGTGGAACTTTATTCCTAGAGCCTAGCCTTTACATTTTAGCCATATAGTGTCTTCGGACAAAATGTTTGTATAAATATCTTACATAATATAAAACTGTCAAAAATTAGTCATGTCTTACTATGCAAAAAATAAAAACACTAACTTTTTTCTTTGAGGATATAGGGGAACGATGTCTTCAACAAAGTTGTAGACAACGTAAAAACAAGCAACTTCACTCAATACGTCAAAATTCTAAATCCTGTATTTTCAGAGCTATGGAGCTTTTTCTATGGAAGTTCCCTTAAATTTAGTTTTTCATACTTAACTTCTTTAAATTTCATTTTTCAAGTATACAATGTTCTAGACATTTATTTAAACAATCAAAACAAACGTTTTTGCTCAATATCATGAATCATTACAATTACTCCTTGTAAAGTTATTACAACTTTTATCTTTATTTTTCCATTACTTCATAAGCTTTTAGGAGAGAATGGGGCAAGTGAGGACACAAAATCAACTTTTTTTCTTGAAGCTTAGCTCAAGTACTATAAAGTTGAGAAGGTTTCATTTGTCGCTCCCTTCCCAAATTTGAGTACAATAACCTTATTATTTATGGTTTTTCATATATTTTTCACTTTCTTTTTAGGTTTTTTATACATAATTTTTTCCTCTTTTATATTTGAAGTATATAATGTTCCAAATAATCTTAAAACAGGAAAAACACATGTATTTGTAGAAGACCGTTTGTCTCTACAATAATGCATTGCAAAGTTATAGCTTATTTTAACTTTATTTTGCTTTATTTTTTTGTTTATATGGGAGAATGTGGCAATGGGAACACAACATCATCTAGCCTTCTTGAAGCCCAAGTACCAAAAAGCTATGCAGATCAATTTCACCCTTTCCTCCTCCTATTTGAGTATCACAACTTTACGCTGTTACATATTTTCTTGTTTTTATAGAAAACTTAATATATTGAACGTTCGCTGCAATAAAATTATAGCTCAAAAATAATACACCATGTATTATTTTTGAGCTATACGCGAATAGCATAACAGTTTGTGTGATTTCACTGCCTGCTGGCAGTGTTTTTGATATTTAGGTGTACGTGTCGTGATCATTTGGACAAAGAAAGAAACTGAATATGTTATTCGCGTAAGTACATGGTGTATTATTTTTGAACTATAATTTTATTGCAGGGAATGTTCAATATATTAAGTTTTCTATAAAAACAAGAAAATATGTAACAGCGTAAAGTTGTCATACTCAAATAGGAGGAAAAAAGGGTGAAGTTGAATCTGCATAGCTTTTTGGTACTTGGGCTTCAAGAAGGCTATATGATGTTGTGTTCCCATTGCCACATTCTCCCATATAAACAAAAAAATAAAGCAAAATAAAGTTAAAATAAGTTATAACTTTGCAATGCATTATTGTAGAGACAAACGGTCTTCTACAAATACATGTGTTTTTCCTGTTTTAAGATTATTTAGAACATTATATACTTCAAATATAAAAGAGTAAAAAATTATGAATAAAAAACCTAAAAAGAAAGTGAAAAATATATGAAAAACCATAAATAATAAGGTTATTGTACTCAAATTTGGGAAGGGAGCGATAAATGAAACCTTCTCAACTTTATAGTACTTGAGCTAAGCTTCAAGAAAAAAAGTTGATTTTGTGTCCTCACTTGCCCCATTCTCTCCTAAAAGCTTATGAAGTAATGGAAAAATAAAGATAAAAGTTGTAATAACTTTACAAGGAGTAATTGTAATGATTCATGATATTGAGCAAAAACGTTTGTTTTGATTGTTTAAATAAATGTCTAGAACATTGTATACTTGAAAAATGAAATTTAAAGAAGTTAAGTATGAAAAACTAAATTTAAGGGAACTTCCATAGAAAAAGCTCCATAACTCTGAAAATACAGGATTTAGAATTTTGACGTATTGAGTGAAATTGCTTGTTTTTACATTGTCTACAACTTTGTTGAAGACATCGTTCCCCTATATCCTCAAAGAAAAAAGTTAGTGTTTTTATTTTTTGCATAGTAAGACATGACTAATTTTTGACAGTTTTATATTATGTAAAATATTTATACAAACATTTTGTCCGAAGACACTATATAGCTAAAATGTAAAGGCTAGGCTCTAGGAATAAAGTTCCACTTTTTGCCGTTGTGGACCACAGTGCATTGTGTACAAACTCTCCGCAGTGGCGGCATGTTTGCCGTTGCCCGTAATACGATACGTACGTGATATCACCGTCGATGATGATGTATGAAGGAATGTTTCGCTGCACCTTCATCTTAGCGATCAATGTTCCAGTTGGAATTCCTCCAAACATGTATTTTTCTTCGTCACACATTTCCTCGTGGATTGAGAGAACGTCTCCAAATGCACTCAGATACTCGGCAACCTGCTCATGAGTTATACTTTCGGAGAGATCATACAGTTTAACTGCTACGGCTCCGTCTTCCATACGTAGTCGTAGTCTGAGTCGATGTCCATCTATTTCGACCTCGTGCTTGTTATCGTGATCGGTCACTACTGTTTGGGCAAGTTCAAGGTCACACACTTTAACGAATGCGCATGTAGAGCTTCGACTGCATTGTATTCGTTTCACCTCACCTCGTTTCATGCCGAGTTGGGTTCCAACAAAGAGATGTATTTCCTCGAGTTTAGGTTTTTTTGGGAAACCCGCAAAGTCTATGCGGAACGTATTTTCGCGGCGACTCATCGCGATTTCTTCGCTCACGGCGATAGATCTCGCGACACTGTAGGCCCGGCGATGCCTACGAAAATAGTTTGTCGAAAAACACACTAATAACTGTCGAAAATCACCTTCTGACGCGCAACTGTACAAATTCCATCTGCTTGACTCAAATGATGAGCACTGAACACTTCAAATCTCCACGTACATTGTACGTGTTAGGCAAATAGTGTGCGTTTGACTTGCACTGTCACATTAATGGCCCTTCGCTCATTTTCAACTTCTATTCAATTTTCATTCTGTAGCACTCTAAAGGAACTATCCACCTACTTTCTTCTAAGACCATTCTCGAGCTAATAAATTATCACACTAAAGCTTCATGTTAGATAGCATTTCCAACAAACTCATTAATTACATGTTTCATGCTTCGTTATTACAAAATATGAATTTTTAGATCAAAAAAATCGCAACTGTAAAACAAAACAGAAAATCGAAAGCGCATAGCTAGCACTTAACGAAAATACGCCACACAAACTCCTACTTCCAGCACAATATTGCAATCAGGGACGAACGACTCACAGTTGTTTCCATTCCCTTCAGCGGAAAGTGCACCAACGTGGAGACGACGCAAATCAAACATCAACCGATGGGAAATTGAATTTCCGAACTGATAATTTCGCACTTTCATCATCCAGGATCGGGATCTGCCTGCGGCGAATGCCGGTCTGCGCTTCCCATCTGGTGATACTGATTGATTGCAGTCTCGCAATCGACGGAGAATGGAAAAGATCAAGCCGACAAAAAAAAAGTCCGGAAAATTATCATGTTCGTTTTTCTTTCGATCCAATTCATCCTCCATCATAAACGAATGGGAAATTTCGAGTTTAAATTGTCATTAAATTTTCTTTTTGTGCCTTTTTTTCCGCTCGGGATTTCCAGGAACGTTCGCCAACCAGGTGCAGCTATTGATTGAGTGGGAGGCTCGAGATCCGGGAAAGGGACTAGACAAATAGAGAATACATCATCCGTGCCAAAATCAACTCAAGTGCTGAGAGCAAACCCCCCTTCGGTGGCACTTCCGTCATCAATCCTCGATTGCCCCTGATGTGCTACATAACCGGAATGAAAATCGACATTTTTTTCCCTTTTGACAAGCCTTCCTATGCATGGAAATGTATGTAGGACTTACCGGAATCTTTTCCTCCTTTGACGCAGATGCCGAACCCGTGACTGGCGTCGGTCTGTTGGTCACGGGACATGTTCACCGTGCGTGTCGACAGATTGTGAATGATCGGTATGCTTCGATCCCGATCCCGATCTCGATAGATCTGTGAGGGGGGGAAAACAATGAAAGGAATGGCAAGGTTAGTAGCCGAAAGAAGGTGGAATCGATTAAATTAAATCATTATGGGAATTGTTGGGACACTGTTCTGGGATTTCGAGTGGTGTTTCGCAGTGGAACAAATGAGGAGGGGGATTTTTGTTTGCACTCAGAACAGGTTCAACCCAACCCATGTCAAAGCAACTTGACATGGAATTAAGACAACCGAACACCTATTTAATCGAATTTACTTTAACAATTCGATCAGTCGGTCATCTCGCCATTCCTCATTTTTAAAAAACGGAATCAACGGACGTTGGTACTCACCTGGTGGGTGGTAGAAGGCGGACTGCTGGCAGGACTGCGACGGCCTCGATCTCGCGTGCCGTTACTATGATAACTAGTAGGAACTGAAGAAGACGAACTTTGTGTGTTAAACAATCTTATGACCTGCTCTGGCGAGATAGGCCGCTTCTTACCATTATGTCTGGTAGAATTTGGAACTGTACCTGAATTTGAATCCGAAAAGATTTCAATCGGAGAATGGGGACGGGAGATGGGAGGAGGGATTTTATGGTGGGCACGAGGATTTTTTTTTAAAAAAAGGTCAAGAGAGAAAGAATCAGAAGAAGAAGAAGAGCGGAAAAGTGGAAGTTTCAAGTTAAGGTCTTTCGGTCATTCATTTTTTTCGTAAGAATATCCTACAAAACTGGGTCACACAGGACGGATAGTAGAGAAAGAGAGAAGATAGTTGTTCGTTTGAATACGGGTGGGGATTTCTTCTTCTACAGTTTTATTTGAAGAAATATAATCGGGATCTAACCTCTATCGGAGACAGTCAGTAAGAGAAAGAGAGTTCATACTCGGGATTGTCTAATACACACACTCGTTGCGGGGGTCCTTTCAAGAAAAGCTTTTACGGGGGTGGGGGCGGTTCGCTCACGGAAGAAAGTTCACAATCAGAGGGCATACGTTGTGCTCTATAGGTTCGGGAGAGCTAGAAAACACAGTTCAGGCATACAACACATACATCAAATCGAACACTGGGGGGGTCGGGGGGCTTGACTGGGATCACGAGGGGTTATTTTGTGTGGTGTAGTCTTGGTTTTGTGTGTTTTGTGTGGGTGTGGTGGGTGGAGGAAGAGGGGTGGGGGTTTCAGGGGGAAAATAGAATTGTTCTATCTAATTGAAATCGGCTTCATTTCTCCTTTCGATCTCCCGGAAATTGATCAAGACATAATGGCAAGCAGAAGAGTTGGACCAGATACTTTCAATTCTTATCTAAAAGAATAGGAACTGCTAGAAAGAAAGTATGCAGCTGTAGGGATTCAACATCTACAGGTTTTATTTTTTGGAGGGTAATAAGAGTACTTGAAATAGCTAAAATTACGGTGAGAGATATAGAGAGCTAGAGCGACTTTGGTGAGTACTAGTGGATAGACACTAATTAATCTAGAGTGGAATTGTTTGGAGAACGAACAGGAGATCTAGAGATAGTTGCAGGATTCATATGACAGGTTGAATGGCTGCGCTTGGTGAATCCTAATGCTGGTCCAGAAACGAACACAGAATATATTTATGGTAGGAAAAGGAGGAAGGTTTATTGGTGTGTTTGAGAGGCAGAGTAGGTGTAAGTGTGAAAGGAGGCCGGCAGCAGTTCTATGGGAAGCGGCTTTTGAGCTACAGACACAACATCGTTACAAAACTAGGAGGATCGGACGTGGCTATCTGGCGCATGCTTTCGATGCAATTTCGATCTAGTTGGTACGGCGATGGCCAATGGTTCGAATTGCTCAAATTTGTCCGTGGATTTAGAAAATATTTTTCCTGTGGCGTTGATGACTTTGTTCTGCATTTAATTGATTCAGTAAACTTTCTCAGCTCTACTATTTTAGATATCATTCATACCAGATTTGAGAGTAGCATATTTTTAACAGTGTTTTTCGTTAAACGGCAATCATTTATACCTTATGTTGAATATTTTATAATTTTCACCTACGTTTTGGTCCTACATGAAACTTACTTCAAGAATGGTATTAAAATCAACAAATTCAACCCTGGAAATAGTATTATTCTGGATCGAGACATACATTAAGGTTAATCTGGCATCTGGCCGTGTCAAATTATTAGAATGAATATGATTAGAATGAATATGATTAGAATGAATATGATTAGAATGAATATTGGAATGCTTATAAAATACGGAATGCTACAGTGGGCTGGCGGACAAGAGAAGATAATGGACTTGAAGCAATTTCGGAGCAGTGCAGTTCCACGGCAAATTACGAATCTATCAAAGCCGAATTTCTCCGATTGCATGATTGCTTGTTATGGATTCTCATTAACATTTGTGCTGAAATTTATCCGTTTTGAATGTTGCAAAGAATTTCAAAATCTTGTATTATATATTTTTAAATAATTCATTTCTCTGATTTTTTTTTCCTTGATTTGATTTCCATCGATCATGTTTTACTTCTACGATCTTTACTTCCTTTCCGAAGGAAGGCGTGATCAGAGATGTTGTGCCTCAGAACATCCCGGCGGTGTCGACTGGGATTGAACTACTGGGGTGAGAGGTAATCACGTTTACCAGTACACCACCGGCGCCGCTAACCCTCCTCTGATAAACAATGTCCATATTCAGGTCAGAACCAAACCTGCCATGCTTATTAATCATAGTGGACATAGTCTCTGAAGAATTGTTCATGAAATTAGGCGAATTTTGATGTATTGCACGACTAGGTTCGTTGAAAATTATAAATTGGCCACCTTTCCGAGGTTCCCAGAACCTGATCAAAACCAACTGATGACCAATGTTGCCCCGGACATGTCAGCATATCCTTTGATTAATTCTACATAAAATTCTGCAAATTTTGAGGTGTCACATGGCATGGCTCTATGCAAGTGATATATTTTCCACATTTACGGTGCCTCTGGAACCTGTTTCGGAACCATCATGTGGCCAATGTTGCTTTAGACAGTTGACATAACTTCTTAAGAATTCTTCATGAAATTCTGCGAATTTTGAGGAGTCGCACGACCATGTCGCAGAACCATGAAAATTATAAATTGCCCACCTTTCCGGGCATTCCGGAGCCTGCTCCGAGACCAAAGGATGGCCAATGCCAGACATTGCATTGCCTCAGACATGTTACCATTACTCTGATGAATTCTTCATGAGATTCTGCGAATTATGAGGTGTCGCTCGACTTGGTCCTTTGATAATTATGAATTGGCCAGGATTCCCGGAGCCTGTTTCTAAACTACTGGATGGCCAATGTTGCCCCAGACATGTTAGCATGGCTTCTTATAAATTTATTCATGAAATTCAGCGTATTTTGAGGTGTCGCTCGACTTGGTCCTATGAACGTTATAAATTGGCCATATTTTCGTGGTTCCTGGAGCCTGTTCCGAGATTAACGGATGGCTAATATTGCCCCATTATCTCTGATGAATTCTTCATAAAATTCTGTGAATTTTGAGGTGTCGCTCGATGTGGTCCTATGAAAATTATGAATTCGTAAGGAATCCCGGAACCTGTTCCGAAACCACCGGATGGCCAATGTTGCCCCGGACATGTTGGCATGGCTTCTGATGAATTCTTCATGAAATTCTGCGAATTTTGAGATGTTGCACGAATTGCTTCCATGAACATTATAAATTGGCCATATTTTCGGGGTTCCTGGAGCCTGTTCCGAGACCAACGGATGGCCAATGTTGCCCCATTATCTCTAATAAATTCTTCATGAAATTCTGCGAATTTTGAGGAGTCGCACGACCATGTCGCAGAACCATGAAAATCATAGATTGCCCACCTTTCGAGGCATTTCGGAAACTGTTCCCAGACCAAAGGATGGCCAATGCCAATTGCATTGCCTCAAACATGTTAACATTACCTCTGATGAATTCTTCATGAAATTCTGCGAATTTTAAGTTGTCGCTCGACTTGCTCCAATTAAAATTATGAATTGGCCAGGATTCCCGGAGCCTGTTTCTAAACTACTGGATGGCCAATGTTGCCCCAGACATGTTAGCATGGCTTCTGATGAATTATTCATGGAATTCTGAGATATTTGAGGTGTCGCACGAATTGATACTACGAACATTATAAATTGGCCATATTTTCGGGGTTCCTGGAGCCTGTTCCGAGATTAACGGATGGCTTATATTACCCCATTATCTCTGATGAATTCTTCATGAAATTCTGTGAATCTTGAGGTGTCACTCGACTTGGTCCTATGAAAATTATGAATTGGTAAGGATTCTCGGAGCCTGTTTTGAGTCACCGGATATCCAATGCTGCCCCGGACCTGTTGAAATGGCCTCTGATGAATTCTTCATAAAATTCTGTGAATTTTGAGGTGACGCTCGACTTGGTCTAACGAAAATTATGAATTGGTAAGGATTCCCGGAACCTGTTCCTAAACCACTGGATGGCCAATGTTGCCCCGGACATATTGGCATGGCTTCTGATGAATTATTCATGAAATGCTGCGAATTTTGAGGTGTCGCACGAATTGCTCCCATGAACATTATAAATTGGCCATATTTTCGGGGTTCCTGGAGCCTGTTCTGAGACCAACCGATGGCCAATGTTGCCCCATTATCTCTGATGAATTCTCCATAAAATTTTGCGAATTTTGAAGTGTCGCTCGACTTGGCCCTATGAAAATTATGAATTGGCCACCTTTCCAGGATTCCCGGAACCTGATCTTATACCACCGGATGGCAAATTTTGAGGTGCCACACGGCATGGTTCTATGCAAATGATAAATTTGCCACATTTACGGTGTCTCCGGAACCTGTACCAGGACCACCAGGTGGCCAATATTGCTTTAGACAGTTGACACACCCTCTGATGAATTTTGCATGAAAATCTGTGAATAGTCCTATGAAAATTATACATTGTGCACCTTTCCAGGGTTTCAGGAACCAATTTCGTGACCACTGGGCATTTGGACATAGCCTCTGAGGTGTCACTCAAATTGGTGTTATTAAAATTATAAATTGACCACCTTTCTGGGGGTTTTTGGAACATGTTCCGAAACCATCGGATGGTCAATGTTGCCCCAAACATGCTGACATTACCTCTGATGAAATATTCATGAAATTCTACAAATTTTGAGGTGATACTCGGCTTGGTTCTATGGAAGTGATAAAATGGTCACAATAACGGTGCCTCCGGGAACTGTTCCAAGACCACTAGGTGGCAAATGTTGCATTAGACAGTTGACATAGCCACTGATTAATTATCCATGAAATTCTGCGAATTTCGAGGCGTCGCTTAACTTGGTTCTAACAAATTAAAAATTGGCCACCTTTCCAGGATTTCCGGAAACTGTTCTGAAACCACCGGATGGCCTATGTTGCCCCGGACATGTTGCCATGAACTCTGATGAATTCTTCATGAAATTCTGCAAATGTTGAGGTTTTACACGAATTGATTCTATGAAAATTATAAATTAGTCAAATTTTCGGTGCCTCCGCCGGATTCTGTTTCATGTTCACC